AAAAAAAAACAGACACGGTTGATGCTAAAATCATTTAAAAAAAAAAATATTTCATCCAAAATACCTCTGTGTGCGTTTGTGTCTATATACATATTATTTCAGGATCAAATAAGCATATGATTACCTAGAAGCGCGTGGTTATAAGACTTAAACAACATTTTATTCTTTTCGAAAAAAACTCGTTGAATATCTACTTAATTACTACTCACTCCAGTAATAAATATAAATAGAAAATTAAAAAAATACTTCTAAAATTTCTAAATCTCAAATCAGGAATGACTATAAAAATGTATTGTTATTTGATTTTTAAATATTATCAATTATTATTAAAGTATAGTAAATAAGACTGATTTAGAATTTAGAATTTTAAAAATATTTTTTTGAGATTCTTCGAAATATAAAACCTAGTTAAAGAGGTTATTTTTATTCTACATATAATATTTCAATCCATTTTGTCTTCCAAATTTATAATATAAATTTTCTTTAAACTATCCATTTTGATCATATATATTAAAAGTTTACATATGAAAAATAATGATTGAATGTAGTATTTTAAAGATATCAACACACATTTGTAACAAATATAATTTAACTGATTTTTTAATATTTGATTTTCTAACTCTTATATTTAGATTTTTTTTTTTGTGTTATTTGTGTGTGTTCATTGTTTAACACTAATTACCAGCACTAATTACTACTTACTAGTGCACCTTTAGCTTTCAAACACTTTAATCTAGTCAATTACAAGGTGGGTCTTAGTTGAACAATACAATGGTAAAACAGTTTAATTTCCAAATTACATATTTTAATTTGCTTTCAGACTGAAAAGCCGTCAATCTTGGTCTATTTAATTATAATATATATGTGTGTGTGTGTGTGTGTGTGTGTGTATGAATGTCCCCCACGAGCCATGGAAAAGTTATACAGGAATGGTCATTGTTCAACTTACTTTCAATATATAATTATATAATATAATATATATAAATGAACCATCGGTAGATGCTTTGGAATTTCGTCAAAGATCTCAATAAATCTTATGTTTCACACTTCATGTACTTTTTTTTTTGCCAATACACTTTATGTACTTTAAGATCAATGCCCTCAACATTTCGTTAGAATAGCAGTTGTGGGCTGTGGTCAACAAAACATTTAATGCAAGATCAGATTAAAAAAAGACGTTTGATGCGTATATAATAAGATATACTATCTCCAGTAATTAATATAAGACTCAATAACTAATTAAAAAAGTTAAAAAAAATTACTAAATTATTTTAAAATATTTAAATTTATCATTTTTTTCAAACTAATTTGTTTTACTTATAAATTGATATATAATCTAACGTTACATATAAGTATTTTAGAAAGATCATGTAACATATATTATTATTAAATAATTTTTTAATTCTCCAAATTAATCAATTAGATCTTATATTAAGGACTGGAGGTAATTTTTTTTTTGTGGAAGCTATTTAGTCATTATAAAAATTATTTACAAAATATATGTTATTGAGTTATTATGTGATCAAATGTCTTTAAAATATAAGAAGATATGTAATGATATTGAATTTTGATGATAATCAATAGCAAAAGAATAATCAACAAATAGCTCATTATTCTGGAAGATAACATTAATTTAAAACATTAGTAGGAAAATTGATTATCCTTGATTTTTTTGGTTATCTTTGTTTTTTCATGTGAAGCATGAAATTGATGAAGAACTTCCTCATTTTCGGATAATTCAAAAGTGACTTATTCATTGGATAAACTTGTAGATTATATTGACCTAAGTTGATCACTGATACACAAAATTTTATCTTCATTAACTTCAAAAGACCCCTTTGTTTTTACTATTAAATCAAATCTTAAACTTAAATATTCGCTCAAAAATCTTAAACTTAAATGCATAACATAAAATAAAGTGGATGAGGTCAGAACTCTTCTACACGGTTTGGGAGAGCTTTTATTTAAAGTTCACATTGGTCTAATAAGCAATGCTTTATTGAACTTTGAAGTCAAGTTTGATTACTTCGATGGTTTTTGATATGAAGTACTATGTTGGTACGGTGCCACTGAATTGCCAGTGTGGCTTTGGGAATTAGGGTCCTCAAGAGACTTTTCAGAAATTTTTTTGGTCTTTTTTTAAATATATAAGAGACTTCGTACATTTCTAGAAGTAGTAATAATTACTTGTTTTTTTAGTATTTTTAATTATGCAGAGAGAGATAAGACTACACTAATTTAATAAACTTAAAGGAATGCTAATTTTAGAAAATGACTGAAAATATGAGTGTTCTTTTTCTTTTTTTCCCACTCAAACAAGAGAAGAGAATATAATTACAGTGTGTCTCATTTTAAAATAAGCTTTCTTACTTATGAGTTGTAATCAATACAATTATTTATATTTTTATAATATATTATTCTAACTTAATTGAAAAGAAAATTAAAGGGTTGCGTATCTTTTTTTCCCAGCATTATCAAAAATATTTTAAAAATATCAATCAAGTTCAAACTGTTCGAAATTTGAACAAATTGCCTATCTTTTTACTGGTTTGAATAAATTTTGTTTTGCATTATAGCTTAGTACTGCAAAAGCTCCAATAAGAAAAGGGTAAAAAGAATATTTTGCATCTAAAATATTTTTCAAGTAACATTATTCACCTCAAAATACACATTGAGTAATGTTGTATCTGGAGTGTCAAAAGTATTATTTACACTAACCCATACACCATTAACTTTAGCGACCATTTTCTCTTACATAACTATCTGGCTGAGTTAGATTCGAGTATTATTGAGCCTAGTTAGAAGTAATTTTTTTAAAAGCATTTTTTGTATTTACACTTATTCGAATTCCAGAGTTCATGCGTAGACAATCAAAATTCCTTTCACCAAAGCTAACACAATGTTGGTAACTTTTGTTTTTTGTTTTTAAAGTTATACATAGATATTCTTCTATTGAAAACAATTATATTTGAGACATTGTTGGATAGTAAATGTGGAAACTTCTCCCAATAGAGATTTAAACCTTAGTTTGCCACGTTATGACTAGATCCAACCTTGCTAATGACTATCAGCATGTTTGGATCAACGTTTTCAACGGAAACGTGCATTGGAATGGCGCAAAACTAACGTTTACTAGCAGAGAAATGCTCAACCAAATGTTTGGGTGAGCGTTTTTGTAGATGAACTTCTGGGTAAAAAGTCGCCTAACGCTGAAGCTAATTTTTTGAGCTTTTTCCGTCACAAACGTGGAGAGAGAAAAGATGATGATGAAAAAAGACAAAATTACCCCTAACAAACCCAATAATTTGATACTACATATTTTTAATATAAGAATCATATAACTAATTTGAAGATATTAATAAAATTAATTAAGCTATTTATTTATAATAAATTGATGTTATCTTGTCTAAAATATTTTTGTTAATCATGTGTATTAAAACTACCCATTAATAAAAATTCTTTAATATGTATAATCATTACAGGGATTACTTGAGAACAAAATAAATCAATATTTTATAATTTCACAAATAAACTATTTTTATTTTGTCATAATAATTCTAGATATTTTTTTAATAATTATCATAATAAAAACATAAAATATCAAACATTACCATTCAATAAAGTCCATGTCCTTTTCAGTCATTTTATAACTAAACTCACTTTTTCATTAATCATCCAAACAACTTTTAACTTTTTTAACTGACTTTTAAAAGTACCTATCCAAACATATCCTAACTGACTTTTACTCTAACTTCAGTTACAAAAGTCAATTGGGTTAGAAGTCAGTTTTACCCAACGCCAATCTAAACATACCCTATGTCGGTAACTTTAGAGAGACAGTCTGATGATTTCACTAACAGCGGTTTATGTTTATGTTAAAAAAAAAACTGAGTTTAAGGAATTTTGGGGAAAATATGCCTTTAACAACCCTAATAATAACAAAAGGAAAAAAAGTAGAAGAAATTTCTCATTTTCTTAAATAATTGGAGCTCCAGAGCAGAGGGGGCCAGAGCCTACAAGTTGAAGATCTAGAACAGTTGTTGCAATTATTCCCATTAAAAATAAGCTTAAATGTTGCCCTTTTCAGGGTGTGAAGCGTCATGATCTATTATTAAATGTTAATCATCATTTTTTGACCACAATGTGATAATCACCATTTAATTTTTAAATTTTGTAGCTGGGTGTTAGAGTGTTCTTGTTTTTGTTTTTGTTTTTTGGCTGATATATATTTTATATATGCTAAACATTCTCATGTCATCATCTTTTTCAGTTGGTCTCCTACGCGTGGCCACATTTAAGAAAGGATTTACGCCCCTTTTTTTTAATTTCCGACACACAGGTTAAAAAGAGACCCAGGCAAAAATGGGATTAAATAATAGGAAAAAATATTTGAAATTTAATTATTCCTGACTTCTCCAAGAAATAAGACACACCCCTAACATTATGATTCATTTACCCAACAACATCAAAATTTCTACTATAATATAAAAAGACTCCGATTTCAAATAATGCATTAGAACGAGTTCTTTTTATTTTTTGACCTGACTTGTCATTTTATTTGTCAAACGTGGCATAAGTCTTTGAATAATGATTTTTTTTGGGATGAGAGAATAATGACCTTTTAAATTTTTGACTGGGGTTGCTTCTGGCATACTGCTCCCAACAAAGCAATAACTGGTAGATCAGTGAGAAGTTTAATTAATGAATAATTTTTAATATTTTACATAAAGTAGCCGTCATGGAATATAATAACTAAGCCTTTATGCTCGCAAATAAATAATATTTGTTTGAATAAATTAACCAATCACGCTCGATGACAACCACTCCAAATTAATTAACAAGTGAAGTTTCACAGAAACAACAAATAAAACTCAAGAATAAAATAATATCATCAATCGCTTTAAACTAAAGTCATTGTACATATATATACATAATCCGAGTTCACTGATCTTGTGCTTCTCTGTGCTAACACCAAATTTTAATTATTATACCTTCCCAAAATGAACCCTAATTTTTCTCCTGTTGAATCTGTTCAACAATACCTTATTGAAGATGACCCTTCCCTCATGGCTCTCTTGAATGGCCTCTTCATGGACAACTCTACTCGGAATCTGAGCTATGGCGCTGCTTTGCCGGAGCTGCAGGGTGTTAGTAACACCAGTGGCACGGTGTTTTCTGGCGGGGTTAATGATGACAACGTTATGAATCGGCCAGGTGGTTATGATAGGGCTGGTGGTAGTAACCCAGGATCTGTGGCGGGTGAAAAGAACGCGCCACCTAGATGGAGGAATTACCGAGGCGTGAGGCGGCGGCCATGGGGGAAGTTTGCGGCGGAGATTCGGGACCCGAGCAGGAATGGTGCAAGGACATGGCTGGGAACTTATGAGAGGGAGGAGGATGCAGCTTTGGCTTATGATAGAGCTGCTTTCAAGATGAAGGGTAGGAAAGCTAAGCTCAATTTTCCACACCTCATTGGGTCAGAAACACTGCCGAAGCTGGCAAGAGTAGTCGCCGGACAGAAGCGGCGCCGCCTTCTGCAAGGAAAGCCGGCAGGCTGGTCTACGGAATAAGTTATAGAAACGTGTGTGTGTGTGTGTGTAGAAGCCATGTTAGAAGCTTGAAATCGTGTGAATGAATATTCTTAGGTCTGTTTTATTTCTCTCCTCCTCTCTGTTATCATTATTATGTTTCTTTTCTGCTCCTTTCTTTCTTTCTTTCCTGCATGCCAAGAAAGATACATGGCACAATTTGAATACGAAAAAAAAATCAAGGTTCAATATGTTGTGAATCAATAAATTCTGTGCAATATATTTTAATTAAATAAGATAGTTGGTTATATCTTGTTAAAGTGTGCCTTGGTTCAAGGGCCTATTCGGAAATAAATGGAGTGTAAATGTTAGTGATTATATTAATCAGGGAATATGATATGGAATTATGATTATTGAGCATTGGTACTGGTATATAGATTCCATTGATGAATCATGAAAGGAAATTCACATTTTACCCAGAAAAAATAAAAATAAATATGATAGGAGTTTTTAATAAATGGAGGGTATAAAATTTGATTCGGGGAGAGAAAATGTTTATACGTTAATTCATGCAAATTAAATTTAGATTACACATTGTTAAAGTTACCAACGAGCCAGAAGAAAACCCTCACTATTAAAAATATGACTTTCAGGCTTCAGCGACGGTTTTTGATGGCGACTTTTTGTGTTGCTGTCAAAAGTTTTGAAAGTTGCCGCTAATTTTTTTTCCTCCCAAAAAATCATCATATTTTTTGCAATAATTTTATTCATGAACGTAATATATTATCAATAAATAAAGTATTTTCACATATCGGTTTTTAGAGTGAGAGAGTTTGAGAAATAATGTGATGTTGTTGGATTATTTTTGTTAGAGAGATGATGTAGAGTGAGAGAGAGAGAGGATGAGAGGGGATGTGCACAAGAGATATATGATATTTATATTATGTTTGGTGTGTTGGGGAGGTGAAAAAATGGATAATAAATATAAATCATATAATTAAGCCCATAAAAGTTTAATAAATTTATCCTCAAGCCATATGGGATATTTTTTCTTCGCACCTTAATCAAGATATCCTTATAGATAGATTAGATATAATCACATTTTTGTCTAAAAAAGATATATTAAATATATTTATATGATATTATATAATTATTTAATATTATTTTAAAATATTAATAAATCATACATTTATTCTATAATTTATAATAAATTAATAATTAATATATAAAAATAATAAAAGCTGAAAATATACGTAAAAATTTACCAACAAATTTTTAAAAAATTATACAATTAATTTAGATGAAAAATAAATTTTTCAAGCAATGAAAAAATACATGCGTAATCTGTAATGACTTTTTTTATTTTTATACAATAATTTTTATTTTTAATTAATATATTTAATAATATTATAAACTGAATATAAATAAAAAATTTATTGAATGTGTTATATTTCATTCACTATATAAATACTTTAATTCATTTAAGAAGAATATTATAAATATTTTATCAATATATATATATATTAAAATATAAGATATAATATTAATTAGCTGAAGGCACCCTTTAATATCGCCGCCTATTAGTATCAGCAATAATTGTTACTTGTCGCCGCTAAAAACCTTTAACGGCAACTTTTTAACTTTTAACAATGATAAAAAGTCAAATTTTGTGTAGTGTAGCAGCAACTCACTAGATAGTCATGTTGCAAACCATACTCAATCTTACAGTAGTGACTTTCAATTGCCATAGAAATAAAGCTCGACGAAATCAAACTTTTAATTAGATTTTTAGCAGTAATTTTTGAAAGTTATTACCAAAAGTGATACTTCGATCAGTGACATTGAAAGTCGCAACTAAAAGAGACTTTGAACGGCAACAGCTACTGTTAAAAATCTAACTTTTAACAGTGACCCTGGATAATTATTGCTAAAAGCGAAACTTTATTTTTTTTCACTGATAGCCAAGCACGATCTTTTTACTCCTTTCATTGTCATCATCACGAAGCTGGGGTCCTTAGTGATGATAATACGGTTTTTTATTTTGCATGATTATATTAGTGTTACTTTGAAAAGACTAATTCTCCCCGTTCTAATTTCTTTCATGTTTCCCCCTCTATGAGGGAATCAGTTTCGGTGCTTATCATTTTGATAAACACTTTAAACTCATCAAATCTGAACTGTTTCTATCTGATTTGAATGGTTCAAATTTAAAATCTTTAATTAATTTTTTTAAATAGAAAAAAATTATTTTTAAAAAAAATGATAATTAAGAGATTATCTTTATTTTAAATTTCATCCATATTAAAATAATTATTTTGAACAAATAAAAAAAAATCAAATCATGACCATTCAAATATAATTTGGAACTGATTCCCTTCTATGAGTAGTGTAATTGCACGAGTTCGGATTTTAGGAAGGAGAATTTTCTTATTTTCAAAATCTCTTCATATTTGGAGAGAAAATTGTTGGAGGGAATGTAGTGGGTCACGCTACTCAGTTTTCTACTAAAACTTTTTTTCTCTCATTTAAATAAGAAAAAAACTCTAATTCTCCATGTTATAATTTCTCCCCATGTTTGCTTTCCTTGCAACTTTTCCTCCCACTGTTAAAATATACTCCCTCTGATCTTATATATAGATAATTTCATTACTTGTATCTTATATATGAGATCGGGAAAACTATATATGTGTGTGCAAGTAGAGGAGCATAATTAATTATGAAGAGGCGATATATCCAACATGTTGAGCATATTTCGCCATGTAATCCGCACATTAATTTGTTACTCTCTAAATGTGCGCATCACTTTTTTTTTTTTTGGGAAATAAGACAAAATGATACTCGATTAAGAAGTCAAAAGTTTTACACAGCAACAAGTTAAAGTACAAATAGGATTGTTAAAAATCCTTAAAAAAGAAGAAGATAAAGACACAACTTTAACAAATGTATGAAAAAATGCTGAACTAATGACAATTTTCTGCCACTACTACAAAAAATCTTTTACGGCAGTTAAAAATGACTTTTCACGATAGTTTTAGATGTGTAGTAAATACTGTCAATGTAAAAAGAATAACTTTCACGGTGATTACTAACCACGGTAAAAAATTAACTTTTTATTGTAGTTTCTATGAAATAATTGCCGCAGAAAGTATTCAATAAACAGTGTTTATGGGCTCACATTCACCGGAGTTATATATTTAACCACCGTGAAATGTTTCTTTTTTTTTTTATATAAATCTTTTCTTAATTTGTGTACAATTTTTTTGTAATACCAAACCAAACAAACTAATTCCAGCCAGCAAAACAGACCGGCAGAATGTAAAACTAATTTAAAGTTAAAACACAATTTCCTTTAAACTAAAATCCAATTAAAATTCAATAAATTCAATGCTAAAACTCAAATTTAACACTAAGATAACTAAAATTTTCAATCCTTATTCAACTAAACCTAATAATCAACAACTTAAGCAACTAAAATTTTCAATCCTTATTCAACTAAACCTAATAATCAACAACTTAAGCAATCCATAGTTCAACTAAACCTGATAAACATTGAACTAAAAAACCTATATTCAACTATTAGTACCAAAATTTTGAACTTCAAAATGTTTATATATCAACCCATATTCTCAAGTAATGTTCTTGACAAAGGATCCCTTGTTGAGTTGATTTTATGATGTTATAGAGGATAAATGGAGAGAATCTGCGGGGACACAGATAAGTGAGCATTACATATTTCAACGTAGTGTCCCAATTTTCTCCTCTCTTTGATGACAGAGAGAAGCTCACATGAGTTCTCATTTTATTGGTCTCTCTCTCACTAACAACAGTTCATCTCCTCAACAACATAGCTAGACTAAACACAATGAAGTCATATATCCGTGTCCCCCCTCTCTCTACATGTGTATATCGTGTCTACATTCAGGGGTCCATCTAGAACCTCTGACTAGCAGCAGTAAAGAACACAGACACCCAGATTTTTCCTGATACAAATCAAGTAATAAATTAGAATTAATAAGATAAAAACAAAATAAACCCCAGTTTTATAAAATAGGAGCATCAAAGTTCAAAAAGAATATATGAAATGCTATCTAAAAATAATGCATAAAATGAAAATCAGAAAAAAGAATTAGTAAATGTCATAAGATTTTATGCAATGACATTATTAAAGTGGAAGAAATTACAGCTTGTTTTGGTAAGGATTTTTAGCTTGAAGCCTATAAGTTTCACCAAGTATCTTGGCAAATTCCTTGAATTAATACATATAATTGATTAAATTATATAACTTACAATTTTAAATATAATAGCAAGTTTTTTAAATTTATCTTAATTCATTTTTGTTTAATTTATCCCATGATTATGATATGAAGATGATTAAGTCGAATGATTCTTCTTGAATAGACTAAACATTTCAGAAATGAATTGAGACCTTATATTCATACTTTAAAATATTATTCAAAATGTTTCAAAATAAATAATTAATAACATTTAAGACATTCAAATATTAAAATATCCAAAAATAAGTTTTTATTTATAGAAGAAAATCCAGTTACCCTATTTATGAACTGTTAATAGGGTACATTTTTATCATAATTAAATTTTATTGGGAAAATCGCCATTAAATCTATCAGAAATACTAAAATTCAAATTGATGCTTATATTTTTAATAAATTCATAATAAGATCATTGACTAGAGATTTCATAATCTAGTTAAATGACCACGTTACTTTTCATTGTCTTTTTGAAGCAATCTCTTTTTCTTTCCCCAAAACCACCGCTATTGATCGATGATCGGCTGCAAGTGAGATAGTCACCGGAGCGCCAATTGCGACTGCTATTGGCAGAGGTGGCTTCAGGAAAAAAAATGAGATGAAATTGAGAAGCAATGTGGTCATTTAACAAAATTTTGAAATCCCTAATTAGTCCTCTTTGGCTTGAAAAGTAATATGTTAAAAATACATATTTGAATTTGAATTTTGATAACAAAAGTTGCTTTTTTAAAAGGAAAAAGAAGGGCTGAAGGAATTTTTAAAAAAAAAAATTAATACTCTCATTGGTCCTAAATATTAAAGTTACTAAAAATTTTGTTTTGATTCTAAATATAAAATTACAATTCACTTTATTTCTCAAATTTATAATTTTTTCCTCAAATATCAATCTCACTTATTAAGGAGAGTTTCCATCAGTAATTTAAATATAAATAATTAAAGGGTATTTTGAAAAACAATAACGCACTTTTTTAAAATAATTAAATTAATTTTCCTAATCTTTTATAAATTAGTTATTTAAATTTTATATCTAATATCCCATAGGAATAATAAAACTTAACGTAAAACACTCTTTGCTGGTCCGAACTCCGAAGGTTCCGAGAAGTTTCGCTGTCTAGGTGAAAATTTTGACCACGTGATGTTAGAAAATTATGCTGGGAAAATTACAATTAGATCTCACCCAAGAAAATTAAATACAAAAAGATCTTTTAAAATCATAAAATTATTCTGAAGCCCCAAAGTACCTTATTGCAATAAATTTTATTTGTTTAATTATCAAATTACCTTCTTTTTTTTTAGTTTGTATTGATAACTAAAAGAACAACAGTTAACAACTTAAGATGCAAGGATTGACAATTATCACAGCAGGTATTGACAACTCATGCATTAGATTTTGTGATGTGCTAAGAAAATGTGTTATCAATACTTGCTGCGATAATTGTCAATCCTTACATCATAAGTTGTCAACCATTGTTCTTTCAGTTGTCAATGCAAATTTCAAAAGAAAAAAGGCAATTTGATAACTAAACAAATAAAATTTATTGGAAAAAGGTCCCTTAAGATTTCAAAATAAGTTCATGATTTTAAGAGATGTTTTTATCCAAAACTAAATATTCTTTAACCTTTCCAGATCTCGGGACACAAAAGTTCATGATAACTAAATATTCTCATATCTTTATCTTCATAAATAATTTTCTCTCTTTACGCGTGATGACGGATGATTTTATCCAAAACTATTAAAAACACACAAAAAATGGGATTAAGCAAAAATAGAAATAAATTATTTTTCTTTAACCTTTCCAGATCTCGGGACACAAATCCGAATAATTGTACTATTTTTCATCACCTTCAACATTCTTTTTTTAATCATGATATAATTAGAAGTTAAAATAATTTCAGCAAACCTCATTCTCTTCCAATAAAAAGAGTTCAGATAAAAATAGAAATAAAAATATTACTTTCTCCTATTCTTTATGTAAGTAATATTTTCTCACATGGGATTGGTCTTATATATAAGCAACATTTTATATTTGTCTAAAAATTTAATCCCTTTTTTTCATTTTTACCTAATTACTAGTTACTCCTCTAGTTCTATTTATAAGACTGAGAGAGAAGATATTTTTTGATCCCATTTATAGGGTATTGAGAAAAAATTTTTGTATAGATGTACAATTTTACCCTTAATTTATTATTGTGTTGATTTTATTTGCATGTATGTTAAATAGGGATAAAGTTAAAAACTTGTTGAATTTTAAATGAGAATTAATGAAATTTAAGGTTTTCCTTAATCTATGTGAAATATGTTGGAAATGACTTATAAATAGGACCAGAAGAATATATGTTTTACTCATTTCTTTTCCTTGTCGTCTTCTTTTTTGCTCGTTATCTTCATAACTAATAATATATTTGAGAAAAAAAATTACATCTCTTATATATTTATTATTTTAAACTGATTTTAATAATCTTAATTTGCTTAATTGCCATTTATACACAGAGGGCGTGAGTGAGTAAATATTAAATAATAACAAACGGTCAGATGCATTCCGCACTTTTCCAAGATATGACGTCCTTTTTTCGTTTGCTTAAAAGCAGGGCATCCAAATTAATGTGTTCAATGTTTGAATAATGAGGTTTTTGAAACCTTTGTCTGGTGATGATGCTTCTGTCCTACTGCTTAACCAATCAAACCAAATATTTCTTTAAAATATTCTTATATAATATATTATTGTATATATCATCTTATAATTAAATTAATTAATTTTTTAAAAATAAAAAATATAAGAGATAAAATGAATTAAGATACTATATTTAAGATTAAAGTCAGTTTTCTAAACAAACTAGTTTTAGCGCTTATTGCAGTTATGAGCACTATGGTGCTCGCTGCTACAATGAGATCTACATCATCCAAATATTCATTGAAAAAAAAGTTTTTAAAAAGCAAAAATATAAAAAAATTAAATATGGATCATTCATATTAAATCTAGACGGTCCAGATTTTGTGATGAGCACAAAAAGTAATTCTCTTCCTAGCTAGCTCCTGTATTTTGGATGGAAATTATTAATATAATTAATATCACATATAAATGATGCCTTTATGCTCGCAAATAAATATTGTTTGAATTAAGGCCTGTTTGGATTAGTGAAAGAAAAACTAACTTATTTTTAATTTGACTTTTACAAAAGTGAAATTAGGTAAAAGTTAGATTGGGTAATGTGATTTGTGTTTGGGTTGATTTTTATAAATAAGTCAATTTATAAAAATAAAATTATTTGGATTATTATTAAAAAGTAAGTTTAGTCATAAAATAACAAAAAAAAACATAAATTTCATTAAATAATATATATCATATTCTCTCTCTTATGCTATAATCTTTAGTTACATTTCTTCATATTTTCTTTTATCCCATATGTTATTTATTATAAAAGCATATTTAAAATCAAAAGTACTCTATCTTATCCACAATATAAGTCACTTGACGAATTAGTTAAAATGACTTATATTATGAACCAGATGAAATATATTTATAACACATTTACTACTTTTAATTAATTTTAACTAATTTTTTGTTATTTACCAATTAATTAATTGAAACTTATAACAAGAATCAGAGAGAGTAGTAAATTTTTTAAAGGCGGGATGCAACTCTTTTTTAACTTTCTCCCCCTACTTTTTAAAAGCCAAAAGCCATAATTTATACAAAAGTTAAATTGCCAAATCATGAATCCAAACATCACATTTTATTCACACAGCACGTTTAGTCATTCAACCACGTGATGGAAGCATGTAAACGCTTTGACAAACAGAGCCTTCACCAATCAAACGCGACGACGACAACTCCAAATTAACAATTGAAGTTTCATGGAAACAACGAACACAATAATTAAATGGCACAGTCACTTTGAAAAAAAATCATTATACATACATATTCCTCGTATCCTAAATATAAGACCCTTATACATATTAGTATAAAAATCTTATATTTAGGACTAGAGGAGTATATAAATACCCAAGCCAAGTTTTACTAATCCTGTGTTTCTATACTACCACCAAAACTTAATCAGCTTCTCAAAAATGAACTCTAATCATTCTCCCTTCGAATCATCATTTCAACAATACCTGATCGAAGAAGACGATCCTTCCTCCTCCATGGCTATTATGAATGGCTTCTTCACTGGCAGCAACAGTACTTCGAATCTGGACTGTGACATGGCTTCGCCGGAGCAGGGTGTTAGCAGCTCCACTGGCACAGTGTTTTCCGGCGAGAATGACTACCTATGAAACCAGGTGATGATGACAGAGTGAACGGTAGTGACGCGGGATCTGTGGCGCGTGAAGGGAACGCGCCACCAGGATGGAGGAAATACCGAGGTGTGAGGCGGCGGCCTTGGGGGAAGTTCGCTGCTGAGATCCGGACCGAATAGAAACGGTGCAAGGATATGGCTGGGAACTTATGAGAAGGAAGAGGATGCAGCTCTGGCTTATGATAGAGCGCTTTCAAGATGCATGGTAGAAAAGCCAAGCTCAATTTTCCTCACCTCATTGCGTCGCAGCCACCGCCGGAGCCGGCGGCAAGAGTGGTGGCTGGACAGAAACGGCACAGCTCGCCGGAACCTTCGTCGCCGTCAAACAAGACATCTGAGGATGATGGATCTCAAGGGTCAAGCAAGAAGAAGAGCCTGACTGAACTATTGAACAAGTTAGCAGCAAATAGAAAGCCATGTCAGATTGGGTTGATATGATTCATTTAAAGGAACGCTATCCTGCTCTGTGCTTGCCCTTTCATCATGTAGTTCTGAAGAAAACTTCAAAAGATGAATTCATTTATAATTTATATTATTCTTTTTTTAACTTATTTGTATGGTCCTTCTATGGTATTACTTATAAGGTAGAAAAAGGACGTTATTAAATTTTTCATATGAATGTATGATTATATTTTTATAATGTAAATTCTTTTAAAAAGATATGGGTAAAATAAAAAATCATTAAAAATTGGATTAATAAAATTTGATATTTTTCTTGATGTAAATTGAGCCACATGAGTATCATTGCCATAAACCCTAACATTATTATGTCTAATCGAGAATGCTTCTCTCAATGTGATTGATCCAACGTTGATATTGCAAGGCCAAAAAAGCACATGATTGGGAATAAATGAATTAATGCGCATACACATATAATTAAATTAACAAACAATTTTTTCCTACTCACAAATATCTTCCTATTAAAATAATCCTGTTTAAGAAACTGTACATTAAACATGAGTCTTTCTTTCTTTCTTTTTTTCCATCAGCAAAGAAACTCTTTTAGAAGTTAGCTTCAGAGAAAACAGAAATGATCATACACATCCACGAGTTGCTATACAAAAGACTTCAATTATTCAATATAGCTCTTCAACAAAATAAAACAGACAACTGTACAAGGCTGGGATGCAGGACATAGTTCTGTCTCGATTTTCAAATAAAAGCATCTTAATTTTTTTTGGCCGACAAATAAAAACATCTTAATCATGCTCCTTAATTTTTTTTAGCTCTTATACTATATTATACTACTTCCGATTCTAATTACAAGACTTCATTTATAGAATATAAATATGATCTTATAATTAGGACTCTATAAATGAGGTCTTATAATTAGAACTGGAGGTAATATTATCTACTATCAAAATTTAAATTGAATTGATTTCAAATGAAAAATATTGACCGGTATAATTTTTTATTGACAAAATTTAAATTCAAAACCTTTATTTAATTTAAGGATTATTAAATCTATTAATGTATGTCCATTATGCTTGTTAATTTATTTACATATTTGATCATGAAGGCCCAAAAAGAAAAAGAGAGAGTATGAAAAAAGAAAGGAGAAAGGTCCAATGATTCCTCCCAAACTGTACTGGGTAGGAATGAAAATCGGCTAGGTTAAGCTAGACTTTAGCTAAATAGACCTGTGCTTACAATAAATATCTAGAACTCAAGCTTGAGCATGAGCCCACATATGGGCTCTTTTTAGGCTTAAGCTTGAGCCTTCAAAGGGCCTAACAAGACTTGAAGCATGTTTAAAGGCCCATTTAAAATATGGGCCTTTAGATAGGCTTAAAAATATATGTTTACAAATTCATATATAAGCCTTCAAATCTATGTAAAAACTTACATTATATCTTAAAAGTTCAGTGAAAAACACAGATAAGGGGAGAGGAAGTAAGCTATGAGCAATTGAAAAGATGAGAGGTAGAGGGGAATGATTGATAAATGAAGGGAGACTCATGATCTTACGTAGGAGTATTGTGATGTGAAACTCATGATCAAACTAGAGTTTATAATTTTATAAACAATTTATAAAATTAATTTATATTAAAAAAAAACTAAATAGGCCAAGCCTATTTGCCTAAATAAGCCTGTAAATAGATCTGACTATAAACTTGACGTATTTACTAAATAGACTAGGCTAAACTTTATATAGGCTGAACTATAGGTTCCTGATACTTTCATCCCATGGGTGGCCTAGGTGAGGAATATTTTTGGAGGATCTCCAAAACTGCTCGTAGTTTTTTTGTTTTTTTAACCTTTGTTAAGTTGGAAGCTAGGATTTTATCCTAGTTGTATTTTTCTCAAGCTTCAATTTACCTATGTAACTAAAAAAAAAAAAATACTTTACAAGATTAAGAGATCAAAGGCCATTTAACTGCCTTTTTTTTAATAGGAGGATACTTATATAAAAAAAAAATTCCTCCATAGTCTATACCATATCTTTATTTTTTTGGTTGTTATCGGAAAAAAGTTTTTGGACAAATTTTTTTTGCATAGAATTCTCAACTAGTTCTTATATTAAAAATTTGAAGTAGTAATTAAGTTCACATTGGTCTACGTTCAAAGCATTGTTTCATATACTTTTTTTTTTTAATAGTTGAAGTAATGTTTAACAACACTTTGAAGGCACGGGATCACTTATCTTCACCGATTTGGTTGGTGTAGTAACAAGAATAACACTGTAATAAATGAGGGAAACGTATAATATAAATAGATAAAGAATTAGCTAGAGGTATCCGCAACATATTATAATTTAAAATCTCAAGGCTTAATAATTTATAAGTTATTTCACATTTGTATATTTTATTATAAAACTCAGTTCTATTCGATGAGACTTTTTAATTTTATTTAAATCTATCTTTAGACATTCTTACAAGAGCATGTCCACCCCAAATTATATTTAGTATTTACCCATTAAAAGCGACAACGGTCAAATCGCAGCTATAGTCAGCAGAAATGTGATTCCAAGCTTGCTATTAATATTTCACGCCTTGTTTAATTTCTTGTTTTGAAGATAATTTTTTGTTTTTAAAAATAAAAAATTATTTGATGGTTGATTATTTCAATTAAATGTTTTATAAAACAGAAACTAGAAATCTTTCAAAATTGAAAAAAAATCAACAACGTTTATATGTTTTTTATTGTTTTCGGTTTTGTTATTTTTCTTAATTTCTCTTCCTCGTCACAGCCACGCTCTCTCGCGCTTGCCTTTTGGGTTGTTTGTTTTTGCCTACGTTGTCTCTCACTCCTCCAACTCTCCATCTGTGATAGCTGTACTCTCCACTCTATTTCTCAACTTCTCTCAACTCTCCAAGTCGATTTTAAAAACAATTGTATCATACAAATTTTATGGTTTTTTTTTTTTACAAATATAGTTTTTTTTTAGAAAAATAATCCAAACAGATTTATTTTAATCCCAAAACTTGTTTTAAAAAAACAGTTTTATAAAAATGTTCTAAAAACAGAAAAAAGAACCAAGCTAGACTTTTTTTTCTCTTTGTTATCTTATGTAAGTTCGTTCTTGAAGATTCAACACAATACAAGCGCACCATATAATGTTTAGTAAAACAGTTTCCAAATTAATATACTCTTCTGGTCCTAAATATAAAATCCATTTTGTAATGTAAATTACACTACAAAATCGGTCATATATTTAGAACCAGAGGAATAACATGAATGCCCATCACGAGCCATGGAAGGGGATCGATGCTTTATGTTTGGTCGAACATCTGAATAAAATCGTGTGTTTTGCTTTTATACCAGTTTGACATATTATGTAACTTACCTCACATACCAATGAAGTATTAAATTGATATAATTTTTTAAATTTGTCCTTATTAATTTTTTATTTAAATTTATTAATCATTTTCACCTCTTTCTTCATTTTCTCTCTTCCCAACAAAAATTAAATAGGGGTAAAATTGAAAAATAAAGATTAATAACCCTATAATACAAGTTAATTACTTATGTGTAGTATGTGTACTTGAAAATATGGTGAACATTGCATTAAAATATGATTGTTGTCAACAAAACGTAATCAAAGACAAGGGGATGATATTGTATATAAGTTTTTTTTTGGGCCAGAATATGTAAGTTGTTTAATAATTAGAAAATTATTTAGAAAAATGTTGCTAGGTGATTAATGATCCTAAAATATAAGGAATATTTAATGCCTAAATTTTGAGGACAATCCATTTTATTTTTATTTTTTGGGGGTGGAATAAAATAGTTTTATCAATTTGAATTTCGAATTATGATTCGCTGCGTACGTTTGTGGGAAAATTTGATAATCCTTAATTTTTTTTAGTTTCCGTTTTTATGTTAAAGATGTAATTAATTTAAAACGTCTTCATTTTTAAATAATTCATATGTTATTTATTCATTATTAAAATAATCTCATCAGTGTTTCGCATAGAAAATGAAAAAAAAAGTGACTAAAAATAAATGTTAAAAGTAATTTTGTATTTATATTTTAATGTTGCATGAGATTTTTTGATAGGCCGCATTATTTATAATTTTCTGGTAATTTAGTTTGTTATAAAACTTAAGATAATGAATATTGTAGAAAAAATTAAATAGCTTTCTTTTACACAGTATGTGAGAGCTTTAGCTAAGTTCACATTGGTCTACAAAGTGAGGCTTTATTCAACTTTGAAGTCAAGGGATTCCTCCTCTTCACTGGTTTTATGTATCTTTAGATGTATTTCTCTACACTGACTTGAAAATAAAATTTGTTGTTTTAAATTATATATCATAAGTTGATTTGGATTTTTCTATATATGCTTAACTCGCCCTGAGTGAAGAGTGAAAAATATAAAATAATGAGTATCATTATATTGCATTATTCGTAAATCTTGAAACTACTACCTCTTGCCCTTAATATTAGAACTGATTTGACTTTCAATTTAGTTTAAATATAATATTCCAATCTACTTTGATTTACAAAGAGCAATATTTACCTTAGATTCATGATCAACTTTACTTAAATTAGTTAAAATTAATTAATACTTTCAAGACTTCGAAATTATTCTCCATAAAATTTATTATAATTAGAGGATGTTTTTTAATTGGTTGGAACCTGGAAGGTTGTTCAGTTGATTAAAAAATACAAAAAAAGACATAAAAAACTAATACTACATTTTGTTCTTAATATAAAAGCTAGTTTGACATTTAATATAAGAACCTAATTTATTTTGTCTGTAATATTTATCTATTTTATCCCCAAGAAATCATTATAGTAGTTATATATATTGAGGAGTTACGATCAATAGGTAACTCAAACACACATAATTAATAAGGGTATTTTAGAAAAAATAATATTTATTTATTATAAATAAACAACCCAACTAACATCTTTAGTCTTTCTAAATTAGTCAACTAGATCTTATATTAAAAACTAAAGGTAGTACTTTAGATAAAATGTTATATATATAAACTAATTCTGATGATATTTTCCCCTTAAACATAACATTCTATAATAGATTTAAAAACCTTACAACATGTTTTAGTGTAATCAATTAAAAAAATCATAAATTTAAAATTAGAAACAGTACTTTTTGCTGACCCCTAGGTTCCCAGAAGTTAAGCTGAAGATTTTGACCACATGCTGATATTCATTAAAATTAGAGCGTCATCGTCTATATTATTAATTCAGTATTGGAGGTCATATACTATTTTTGTCTCAGGCATGTTGTTATTAATATTTCTTATAAATATCCTATATTTTAAAGTTAATATGTTCATGTCTTTATCTTTTTTTTTTTGGCCCAACTCTATCTTGTTATGTTAGGGATTAAAATATAGTATATTCATTGTCAAAATATACTACTCATCATGTTCTTAATGTGAGAGTTAATTTGAAAGTTCATGTTAGTGTAAGACTTATTTCGTATATTTATCAATTTTTTTTCAAACTAATCTTATTGATATTCTTTTAACAATAATCAAGTAAGAGAGGGAGAGAGAAAATTAAAAAAAGATGATTAGAGTATTTAAAAAAATCATATTAACTAATTTAATTAAGATCTTTAATCTACTTAAATTAGTTAATTATGTCTTATATTAATGACAAGAGGAATATATATTAAAAAGTTGCGGCTTCATTGCTTTTAATTAGAGGGATATGCAAGCTTGAGGTTACATATGAGAGTGAATTCACAATTTGAGAGCGAATTCACAATTTCTTCGTCCTTATTGGAGAGTTCTTGTACTACTTGGCTATAAAAACATTGTCAACACGTTACTTTATTCAAAACTCTTAAACGGACATTAAACAAATAATAACAAAACCTTATCCCGCGAGATAGGAATCACATGATATTATTAAGGTCTATCAACTACGAAATCTAATGATATAATTTTAATCAAAAGATTTTGTTTAATAATTTTATTGAATGTTCTCTTTAACTTTTCTCTTTCCTTTTTTCAGATGATTTTATACTACTCCTCCGGTCCTTAATATAAGATCCATTTAACTAATTTAATTAAATTAAGAAAGTTAGGTAAGTTATTTAATTATAAGAAATATGACACGTTTTTTCTAAAATACCATAATCATCTTTCTTAATACCCCTCTTCCTCTTCTATTTGATTATAATTGAGAGAGTATCCATATGGGTAATTTAGGGAAAATTGATAAATATGAGAAATGAGTCTTATATTTAGGATCAAAACTAACTCAACAATTAGGTTATATATTAAGGACCGGAGGAGTATATCAGTTTTGCTCACCGATGCATCCAAACCGACAGAAAAATGGTGATTAGTAAAAAAAAAAATTGCTAGATCGATGAGAGCAATATAAAAAGACTAAAATTTGAGATGTATATTAAAATGCGTTGCTAATTTTATTTTTCAAAGATTAACTTTGAGGTTTGTGCTGTCCTCGAAGTCAAATTTATCTAATTTTTTGGCTTAGAAAAAAAAAAAGACATCAATAGTTTATCTAACGAGGTTTTCAACCTTTGACTAGTGTTGCTTCTGTCATACCGCTTACACAGCAAAACAACTTATCAGCCAGCAGTTTAATTATTAATATATTTAACATCATTTACATAAAGAAGCCATTTATAGCATCCTCATAATTAAGCCTTTTATATTCAAAAATAAATATATTTGTTTGAATTAGCCAATCACACGCGACGACAACAACTCAAAATAACAAGTGAAGTTTCATGGAGACAACAAACACAATTAAATAATATCATCACTTTAAACAAAAGTCATTATACATACATACGTACGTACGTACGTACATACCTACATACATGCACGCATGCATGCGTACATACATACATCTATATATATATATATATATATATATATATAGATAAGCCATGTTTTTCACAGATCCTGTGCTTCTGCACTATCACCAGACTTAGCTTCCCAAAATGATCCCAAATCATTCTCCTTTTCAATCAGTTCAACAAGCTCTCACGAATGGCTTCTTCACCGGCAATGACCCTACTTTGAATCTTAACTGTGACATGGCTTCGCCGGAGCGGGGTGTTATTAGCCCACTGGCACAGCGAGAATGACAACGCTGTGAAACCGGTGGTGGTGATGACAGAGTAAATAGGTAATAACGACGCAGGATCTGTGGCGCGTGAGGGCAACGTGCAGCCAAGATGGAGGAATTACTGAGGCATGAGGCGGCGGCCGTGGGGGAAGTTTGCTGCTGAGATCCGGCGCCCGAAGAGAAACGGTGCGAGGACATGGTTGGGAACTTATGAGAAGGAAGAAGATGCGGCTTTGGCTTATGATAGAGCTGCTTTCAAGCAAGTCGAGGGGTAGAAAAGCCAAGCTCAAATTTCCACACCTCATCGGATCGGAACCATTACCGGAGCCGGCGAGAGTGCTGGCTGGACAGAAGCAGCACCGCTCGCCGGAACCTTCATTGCAGTCAAACACTAATGGAACCCAAGGATCGAGTAAGAAAAAGAGCCTAACTGCTTCTATTGGGAAATCTAATGGGAAAAGAAAAACAACAAAAAAAACAAAAGTGATAGCTTCTTCATCGTTTTCCTGTTCTCCTTTGGCGTTTTATGATGGTTTCAAGTTAAAGGGAATCCGTGTGAGTTACACTATCAGGGTCACCCAAATAGTGAAGAAGCTACAAAATAACACTATATCAACAAATTCGATGACTATTGCTGACTGGAAGACGGTGTCGGTTGGGCGGCAAAGTTGAAGAAAAGTTGAACGGAAAAACGCCAAATGGGGGGCATCAGAAGAGGTGAACTGGATGCGTTTCCAAGAAAGATGACACAGCAACGCCACGTGGAGCTGGGTTGGAAACAAATCTTTGCCACATAAGATGAGTTATAGATGATAAGGATAATCATATAAAAATGAGAAAAAAATAAAGAGTTGAGTCACAGACAAGTTAAAAATTCGGGAATTAAGTTGTGCTAATCATAGTTAAAGATTGAATTATAAGTGAGTTAAAAATTGAAGGTTTAAAAGATTAATTTTCCAGTTTGAATAATAATAAAGTTTTTATCAATTACTTTTGTTAAAATATTTAACATTTTGACTCTGGATTTGCCTTTGCATATATACCATAGTTTAAACGAAGCAAAATAAACCATACTTAAACAAAAGCAAAAATAGTTCGCAGAAAACAAGGCAAAAAAAAAAAAAAAGAGAGAGAGAGAGAGATAGAAGAAAAGAAAAGAAAATGAAAGCAAATGATCAAAGAGCTCTTAAATAAATGTTATAGAAAAGAAACTATCATATCATATCATATACACATATATAGTATTACCTATTATATATATAATTCTTTGTATGCAAACTAATCACACGCACGAGGACAACCACTTATACTTGAAGTTTTCATGGAAACAGCAAATTCAAGAATATTACGGTCAAAACACAAAAACTCAAGAATAAAATAATATATCACCAATCCCTTCAAACGAACGTCATTATTTATACATATAATAAGTCCTGTTTCAGTATTGGTCACATCTGTGCTTCTGTTTCTCACAGCATAAACTTAGCTTCTAAAAATGATCCCTAACAATCTTTCTTCTTTCGAATCAGTTCAGCAAAACGATCATCGTGATCCTTCATCTTTCACTTCTCTCATGACGATAATTTTTCTCCTTCACGTCAGCTCTACTACTTCAAACCCTAACTGCGACAGTACTGCTTCGCTTGAGCAGTCTCTGAGCAACTCCATGGCGCGGTGTTTTCCGGTGAGCACGAAGACACCGTGAAACCATCAGCAGGTGGTGATAGAGCCGATAATAATGTTAGTAGTAATGCAGATTCTGTGGCGCGTGAAAGGAACGCGCCGCCTAGATGGAGGAATTATAGGGGTGTGAGGCGTAGGCCGTGGGGGAAGTTTGCGGCTGAGATCCAGGACCCGAAGAGGAACGGAGCAAGAACGTGGTTAGGGACATATAAGAAGGAAGAGGATGGAGCATTGGCTTATATATAGCTGCTTTAAGATGAGGGGTAGAAAAGCCAAGCTCAATTTTCCACATCTCATTGGGTCGGAAATCGCCGCCAGAGCTGCCGGAAAGAGTAGTCAGCGAGACGAAGCTGCAGTGCCACTGGCCGGAATCTTCATCGCCGTCAGGGTGTGCATCTGAGATAACGGTGGATCTCAAGGGTCAAGTAGAAGAAGAAGAGGCTGACTACTCTATTGAATAAATTAGCACAAATAGAAGCCAAATCAGAAGCTTGAAATAATTATGCATTAATGCTGATCATGATCTATTATTTCTCTTCTCCTACGCGCTTTTTCTCCAAAACATAATTTTCATGTAATTTCAATTTTGTATGTTGGTGTCTAATTATGGATTTTTGTTTGGTTTTCAAAAGTCTAGCTGCAGTTTTGAAATTGCCATAAAAATAATTTGGGGTGCACTAACTACTAAGATTTTACCCAAACAAATCATTGATCATCAAATTATTCTAATCTGTTAATAATCATTTTCTCTTATTCGAGCTAATTACCATTGTTCACTAATAAATACTACCCCGGTTCTTAATATAAGAACTAAGTTTACTAATTGAGTACATTAAAGAAATTAGTTAAGTTGGTTATTTGTAATAAATGGATTT